GCCGCGCGTCGTTTATTTGAACAATACTTCAAACGACTATGTAATTTAATTAATAAAACCGGTGTACCCGTCGCTGCGTAACGTTCTGCGAGGACGATCGATATATAGCATTCGTCGAAACTATCAGAGACGATTGTCTGAAAATTACACGATAGAAAAATAGTGTCCAATTTAATCAGGGAGACATTTCAATCCTTGAATCGATAACGTAGTTTCAACGATACGTAAGAGATAGACAAAATTAATTTCTACGCCTAATACTTACTGTTCGATTCACTAGTTCCATTAAATACTTTCAGGATGAACCAAGTCCTGACTTTTATCGACACTTCCTCAGTCACGAAAAATTATTCAGCTGTGACCTCCATTACAGCACGATATTCCAAGCTAAATGCCAATTGAGTCATATGAAGAGGGAAGTTGGGAAACACTGGCCTAACGTTAACCATTCTAACTACTTTTGGCCACTCGTTCCACTCCGATGGGATTTTCCAGGGACACTGAGCACGCGTACTGGCCATTATTCTATCTTACGTGCCACTCAGAATTCAGCTCTGGCTGCTCTTTGGAAGGCAGCCTCGCGATTACGAGAACAGAGTCCCAATTTCTGATTAAAATTTAGTTGGAAAATTTCGCCCCAAATTCTCACCTCGAAGAGGAATACTTTAATTAAAAACTTCGCTTTGCGAAATTGTCTCGTCGATAAACAACACTGTGAGTCATTTATTTGTACAGTGCTTCAAAGATTTCGTAATTTAATTAATAGAACGATGATTGTCCGATGTATGCGCAAATGGACATTTCTCAACAAGGTCGAGCGCTTTCGATTACTCTTCTTCGCGACTCTCATTATTTATTGCACGTAGGACAGGAAAATCGTTGATGGAAGTTATTGCATTTTCGAATACTGCTATTTTTTTATTTTTTTTTTTTTATTACATATTTATCGTCATATCAACCTTTGGTTATTAGCGACAGTTTCTTACGAGGTTTTCATTGTTACAGCGAAAAACAGCGCTGCGTACAAAGACTCTTTTATTCTTATTGTTAATAATGTTAAGCCTCAACGTGATTGAATTCCAGAGTGATAAAATTTCGAAGGGGTTGTATTTTGGGAAAATCGAAATCTAAGTCGTTTATATTTCAGCTCGATCGAATTTCAAAGCAATTGTATTTTAAGAGAAAATCGAGTTTCGGGTTGTTTAAGTTTCCGGCGGGCCAAATTTCAGGCGATTCAGTTTCATAGCTATTGAATTTTGAAACGATCGTATTTGAGTCGTCCATGTTTCAGGTCGATCGAATTTCAGAGCGATTATATTTTAAGAAAATCGAGTTTTGGATCGTTCAAGGTTTAGGACTTACCGAATTTCAAAGTGATTAAGTTTCTTTAACGAACCCGTGCAATGTATTCGAAAAGACCCTCGTATGTCATTCGTGATGGAAATTTGAAAATTGCCCAGTTTTAGCGATGTTTTTGGGGTACGAAACCACAGTGCGGCGCCGGCGCGCCGGTAAGAACACGCTAGTTACACTTGGCAAATTACGTATCCCCTGGAGAAGACACTGGGCTGGAAGTTTGATTAAAGCCTTGAACCAGAATTTCCATGGGCCAGGCAGCGGTATCATATTACCGTACCGCCGCGCAAAACCGTTAATTTCACCCTGTCTACGCCTGAAAATTGTTCGACACACGCACAAGCCGCGAGTACACGAGAAAATTGGAGACACGTCGGTGCGGGTTAGGTCTATTCGCGGGCTTCATTAACCGCAGCGTAGGCGAGGTTGCCGCGATCGTTTGGAAAATGATAGTGGGAACGCGATACATTTGCATCTGTATTAATCGACGTCCGGGGCTGGCGTAGCTGATATGGTAATCGCGATGGTATTCATTTTACAATGTGCGCCGTTCACAAACGACGAATTGTGCTCCTTCGAATGGGAGGAGCACGCATTGTGCTGGCTGCCGTGACGATTCGTGGACCAGGAGCTTTTTATGTTATACAGAGTGTTCCAAAATAATGTGTCACGACTATCGCGATTCCAAACCTTCGGATCGGTGGAGATCTATCAAAGAAAATGGAGGCAAAAGTTACGTTGACCGACTTTTTGAAGGTCAAAGTTTTTTTTGATCGCGTCGTGTTCTACTCATCGCGAAGGACAAAGTAGCAAAAGAAACCACGGGTTGCGACTCAACTGTTACCTTAAAAAATTATGTTAATGTTCAATGATTATTAAATTCATTTTTTTCACGTGTCAGGTTTGAGTTAGGCCCGAGGTAAATCTGGGTTAGCGTACCCAGAGTAATGAGCTAGAGTAATGAATTCTAAGATTAAAAGTAATAAGTTAGCCTGTTGATTTTATGCATTTATGACGCAAGCGAATATAACAAATACATGTTAATCAAAAGGGATGTATGTGCACTTATACAAAATGAAGTAACAATATTATTATAGAAATTGTAGAACATACTCAACGTACATTACGGATATTTTATGTATTTTTTTTGTATTATAAATGCATAATATCCTCAATCTAATTAAAATGTAAAATTGCACAGTATAGTGAATATTAGATATAATATAGCATTCTACATTATGGAATAGTATATGTTATAAATAGACTGCGGATTTGATTAATTTATGATAATTTAAGCTAATATAATAAACACATGCTAAATGTAATCAAAAGGTATGTGTACTTATGCAAAATGAAGTAACTTATATAATTGTAGAATATATTCGACATACATTATGTATAAAATAAATCCATAATATGTAGTACAGTCTGATATAGTCTAATAATAATAAGGTATACCTACACTAATTCTAAAGTTCCTAATTTCCGAGATGTTTAGCTGGTGAATATTTGAATTAGACAGAAGTAGGTAAATTTCGCAGTAATATTTAAATTACACGGGACGCCCCTTGCCGCGGTCAACTAATTACACGCGAAGGCTGTGACCAGTGGCTCGAAACGACCGAGGAAAAGCGTTCCTCCGCTCAGCAGTTTCATTTCATTAAACTTCCCGGCTTGCGCTCCACAAAGTAATCTTTCAGCAATCAAAGTTGCCTCACTCTGCACGCTCTGGCGCCTCGATTCATCAATTTAACTCTGATCCGTTCGTTTCTGAGAGTCCATGTCAGCCAGAGTTTCGACTAATCTAAACATCTTCCTAATCGTGACCTAACGCACTGGAAGACGTTCGAAGCAAACACGATGCTGTCGCTCTACAGCCTTTGGCCAAGGAAATTCTCTGTTCTAATTGGAACGCTATGACTTGACACAGTGTCAACTGTTAATGTAAAATTATTCGCGATGATGACGCTGACTTATCGATTAGCTCTTACACAGTGATAGATAATAAAGAATTAAGTTTATAGTACTCGGTTTTAGGGGTTGACGATTCATAGTTTGTAAGATACAATAGCAATAAAGAAATGACTAGATTTGAAGAAATATCGCCACTAATGTCAGAAGCTACTGTTGGTGTGGTCAGTAAAGTGTTCAATCCCAGATATGAAACAGTGTAACTTTGGAACCATGTAATTTGTAATCATTCCTAACTTAATTTGCGAAGAAAAATGCATATTTAAATTTCTTAGTGATACGTACAGAAACATAGTCAGACAATTAATTGTCGACATGGGGTAATATCAATTTTAATTTTTAAAATGAATGACGAATGAATGAGCATTGTTAATAATTAAGGAATTTCAAAAAGAATTTTAACGTATTCATATAAATCCAATTAACTTACTTGGTAGTCGCAGTGTCAAACAAAAAGCATGGAAAAGCCTTTTATCTTTCATGTTGCTGTTTCCTTCTGTGACTACTAATAATTTCGTTGACCGCTGTAAAAATACAAAAATTATCTTTTCGTCGCCATTAATTTATCATTAAAGGTAAAGTGATTATTCAAGACGGTAGATGTCGCGTTTGTATATTTATTCCACCGCAAAATTCTCCAGCAATTCAAGTGCGAAACACTTCAGTGGCACGGAATCCAAAGCTGTCTTCAGCAATTCGGATATTAAACGGTTCAGTAACACGAAATTCAAGGCTGTCTTCAGATTCCGCGGCGCAAGAAGGTTTCCAGTTCCCCTGAAAATGAACAAAGCCGAACGAAAGCGTGAAAACGTCGAATACCTGAGACTCCCGGCGCGAGAAGTCAGAGCTGCCTCTGATCGAGAAAGTTCATCGATCGACAGCTACGTTAATTAGCAGCGGGGCTAATTAATCGGAAGTTAACTGCCGTTCGAGAATCCAGGTCGCCTGTCTCGTCGAGGCAACGTTTTCACGAAAGCCCAAGTTTCCCGTTGCTCGTACAACTCTGAATAATGGACCTCTCTTTAACTTGTCACGCGCTTCCGGTTCCCGTTCCGCTACCACTTTTTGTCTCGCCCGGTGAAACGCACTCTCTGCAACAGGTACGTCGACGAAATCCTGCCTTTGAAGCCTTCCAATTTTCTCAAGTAACAAGCTTTCGGCTTACCTTCAAGCACAGAAATTGTTTCGCCATACAGTCTCTCCCACGATTTTCTCCAGGATTAACTCGTTACGCTTGTACTTTTCATGCGTATCGTATACACTGCCCATCAAAATTATACGATTTATAATTTATTGGTTTTTCATCACACCAATTATATTACGGTATTCAACGTACCAGGAAACACTGAACACCTGTTATATTTCCATGTGGAATGAATTTACGTTACTACAGCTAAAAGCCGATTTTTATACCGTATCAAAAATATACGAACACTTGTTAAAACAAGAATCTTATTAAATTTCATATCAACTTCATTTCGTTGCTTGAATCTTGAGATCAATCTGATCACCATTATAACGAATGAAATTACATTCGTAATTATTCCTTCTACTTGTCAACGTAATCCAACATTCCAGGTTCTCAAGCAAATGTTCCAATTATATTTGTCCAAGTTTTACCGAATTTCGAAACCCAACACTGTACTAATTAAGAATATTATTGTTTGTTTCAGTACACGGACTGGGAGCACGTGAATGATGGCTACCTGAATCAGAAAATGATTGCAGACATAGTAGGCGACTACTTCTTCATCTGCCCGTCGATTCACTTTGCTCAACTGTTCGCTGATCGCGGAATGAAAGTGTACTACTATTTCTTCACCCAGGTAATAGAATCGAACGTTTAGTAACGATTTAATTCATCGCATAAACTGCAACACATGATTTCATACAGCCAAAGTAATTAACATGAGGTTTGACTTGATATAAAATCCGTAACACATGATTTTATATACCAAGGGTCGAGTAACAAAATAGAAAAAGTCGAATGAGAAAATGTTACACGCGACAAACTCTCGACCCCCTTATCTATACCCTGTGAAAGAAACGGATAGAAACACCAGAGTGAAAACGGGACGATATTTATTCTACGTTCAAGCCTCGGCTCAGAGGTTGGATATTTCGTCGTCCACGGGGCTTGTAATGTCCCACTCGTGCGTTACATAAATTGTGGAACTCTAATGTCCTCGCGGGCTAAGGAGGCGATGAAAGTTCAAGAGCTCCCGTGAGCGGACCGTATATACTTGCTTTTATAACTTCACCACGGGAATATATATCGAGAAATTCCGTGATAAACTCGAAGGAGGGCTGAAGATCCTCCGTCGGAACCGAGATGTCCCACAAAAAGGCTTAGCCGTGAGGAACAATGGAATTACGGCCTCCTCTCTTCGAGAAGGATGGACGAAACGGCGAAAATGTAATAACTTTGTAGCATTTCTTCGCTTCCATAAGGTCATTCTTGACGTTCCTTTTTTAATCAGTAGAAATGGACAACGTAGGTAGATGGATAGATATTTGAACCGTTTATTTTTATGGCGGTGTAAATCTAATTAAAAATAATCGAAGTCGTGCATAAATTGCACGTGAAACGTATTAATAATGACCAAGATGACATAAAATGTTTATTTTGATAGCAGTGTAAGCTAATTAGGAAACAAAAATCGAAATTATGCATAAATTGCGTTTGAAAAATATTGATAAGCAAATTCATATTCTTAGAGATGCAGAAAAAGATTTGCAATTTTAATAAAAGTATGTTTTATTTTCCAAACATTACAATGTATATTATTAATATTTAATAGATTCTCATGCACATTCTCAAACACATTCCTATACTTCGACTTGCCATAAACGCATAAACATTCGCATTCCAATAATAATCATCTAATAATAATGTGGCTGACCTACGACTGACTTTCACTACTGAATCTGGCTCACTCTCATTACTGAATTTGGCTGACTTATGGCTGACTGTCACTACTATATTTGGCTGACTTAGTGCTGACTTTCTACTGAATCTGGTGTATTATGATTGCATTATTCAGTTGCACTACTAGCAGCATCGAATTTTTTCATAAAAGAATTCATCGCTTGCTTTCTTCTCGAGGACATCGGTTCCGCGGGACAAAATTCTGCAATAAAAATAGAAAAAGTCTTGTAGAAGGATCCCCTCTAATATCTGGTCGACCTTTATTCAAGTACAAAAGGAGCTCTTAAAAGCTCGTCCTCGGTTCTATCGACTCCGCTGCTGGTTTTTTGACATGCCCGACAAAGCTGCAATCGATAACGCACGACAAAAGAAGGAAAAAGCGAATAAATTCGACGACGACAAGTTATTGGATTGGCTGTTTACTTTTAACATGATCGTCGCTAGTGATGGGACCAATCCAATAGCACAACTCGTTAATATTGATAGGTATCAATTTCAAAGCACCGCAACGAAAAGGACCAGTATCTCTCGTGTGACAAGTTTGTGACACTTCTTGTTCTGCTGTTCAATTTAATATACGAAACATACGTTTAAATGTTATGAAGTAATGTAAAGCTCATAATTCGAGATATCAAAACCACATAAATTAAACGAGAATTAACCAAAAACAAACTAAGAAAATAAATACATTGCAAAGAGTTAATCTTACCACTGCGTATTGATTCGACTATCTTATATTTCAAGATCGATAAGCTATACTTTTAAACGCGATCATCTCAAAACAACAACCTTAAGACTAGTCACTTGTCCCGTCCCGATAGAAATAGTTACAAACGAACGTCTGTAGATTTAGTGTTAACTAAAAGCGAAGTAGTTTGTATTAAAAATTGTTAAACGCTCGACATTGTTCGCAAGTCTTATAAAAATCATCGTATTCCAGTTGATGTTCCTTGAAAGTCTGATCGCAATCGACTACCCCTAACCCCTCGACCTGTCCCCCTGTTTCACTTTCGTGGCGTCAGCGTCGCTCAATCCTCGGCATGTTTCATGCGCCGCCGTCGAATAACTGGGACGTGAAACGCGCGTAAGCGGAATGCCGAAGCCTCGAGTAATTAGCGGAGGAGGTAATTTATCAGGGCGCGGTGGTGGAAGCAAAGGAGGATGTCATTACTCATGCGCGCCGGCCGTAATCTTAATAACGGTTTCGTTCGCCGATTAAAGCAACCCCCACGACCGACGTCAACGGACGACCCGCCTCGTCTTCGGTTCTTCCTTCTTCTGTGGCACCTCTCGCGTACTCCTTTTCCGTTTCCAGGCGTTAATCTCCGCATTTCTAGCTTCCACTCCTCGCTTTGCGAAAATCACAGGGACTTCCGCGTCCTTACAGTTCGTGTAAGTTGCGTTCATCACGAATTGCGAGTATGTTTTTCCATCGAGGGTAAAAATTCTTTGGTTCGAATTTATGGGAGGCTCGATATTTTTTTTAACAAATGTATGTGAAATTCGACTTAATCGAATATCTTTGTAATCAGGACGTCTAAATGGGCGTAGTTATAAGCTTGTTTCTAATGTAAAGATTCTAATTTATCACGAATCTTTTTGTTTTTATTTCATTTTAGAGTGAAAATCTTAATAATTTTAATCATTAATAAAAAAAATTTGGCATTGAAAATGCCTTGGATTCAACATTTGGAGCTAAAAGAATCGTTTATTTTTTAAATAATTTTCATGATTATTACTTTATAATAAAATTTAAAAGGTATATAGTGTTAAAAACCCACTGAACCACTATTCGCGCGGACATGACTGAGTGTATCGAGACCTCTATAAGGTAGATCGATCGCAGTGACGTGCGTGCCAAAGCACCACTGTTCGACGATTTTTGTTTGGCAATCAGCGTATTAAAATTGACCACCACGCGTCGCACGTGCGTCGCGTGAAACGCGTAGGATCGATAGTGGAGCCTATCGTGTTCGAGTCGTGCCATCGCCATCGTGACCGTAGCCCAGCTTTTCAGCGGGTCGTCACGAAGGTAGTCACGTGGCGAACGAAAGTGATAACGCGCGACTCGTGATTCTTTTCCCGGATTTAAGGCAACCCTTATCGGTGACGGACGGGGATCGAGTCCGCGATGAATCTATTACTCGCCCTCCATCAAGATGAAGATCGTCGATTTCCCTTGGCAAATGCAAACACGAAGAGTGCCTGGGTCTATTGGTCGCGTGATTTCCGTCTTCAAAACTATCGAGTCATCCGAAACGTTTGTGAAAGTGTTAGGGGTAAAAAGTGGTTACTTTGCTTTTAACACGGGTCATTTTTGTTATATTATTAATTTCATAGACGGGGAATGTAGATTTAAAGTTTGCGACAGGGTTTGTAGATGTTTCTTCTCTTCGATAAGTTTTGTTTTGGTTAAATGTACAGGAATGTGAACGATAAGTATAGTTATAAGGAAGATCTTGAGTATTAAGAAAATCAGGATTAACCTTTTTATGTTTAATATTCAAAAAAGAAGTTTTCTTTTTCTTCTTTACATATGTTTATTTTGTTAACGCTTAGAGTGACAGTCGAACACGACCCTATTGAAAAAATTAAAGCGTTACCATAGCGTAATAATTTGTTTACGTAATAATGGGCAATCAGTTTAATTGAATCGATGAAAACACCTGTCGCTGAGAGGTGGCCAAGGCGGTAGGACCTCTTACATGAATCGTTACGTTCATCCCGTGGTCGTTCGGGCGGAGAATGCAGGACAACGTTTGCCTATGTACGCCCTTGTTAAAAATTTTTAATTGACACGCTACAATTACGAAAAATGGAACTTCGTGGAAGTTTGTCTGCGCGTTTGTGTGTCGCACGCTTAACGAGCTACATTCTTTTCCCTGTGCAATTCCGTGGTTGTCATCAGCAGCAAATGGTGGTTTGAGGTTTCGTCGAATTCATTGGAAAATGATTGTGAAAGATGAGATACAAAAGAGGTTTGATATTGTTGATGCACTCACGTTTGGAATCCATCCGGAGATATGTTGAGACAAGTATTCGACTACTGCAGAGACTCGGTGAATGAACATAATCAAGTACTAGGTAGTCGAATATTTGAATATTCAAATTTTCAACAAACCAAGTATCAGATCCAAGAAACCAAGTATCAAATGTTTGACTGCATGAATATTTAACTATTCGAATACTAAATACTCGAATATTTGACTATACGAATTACATGGACGCCAATGATTTCTGCTCGTACACGTTAACGTTGAATTGATGCTGGTACCTTGATTGTGAAATAGCGTGCGGACTCTATTCGCTGCGCTGATGAGCGTTGCGTGAATTCATTGCACCATCTCTGGTAAATCAAGCACAGTCAGGAAATAATATCGAATCCAGAAAATGCTGATAAGCAACAGAAATCTGTGATAATCTTTTGTAGGACGTAACTCCTGAAAGGAACATCGTAATTCATCATTCGCCTAACAATCGCGTGGTGCGCGTTCTTTTTCTTCTGGTCGTTCGAGTATTGTACTTGTCATTGAAAGTATAATGAGTGACGTAGCACAGAAAGATGAATGTTCATTTTTTATTCGTAAATAAGCGCAATAATTATGAGAGGACATTAAAACTTCCATCGTTAGTCCTAGGAGACGCCATCTTGTCGTTTTCTGGAGCTCTTAATTAAAAAGAACGAGGCCTAGCCTCCATTATCCGATGGGACAGAGGAAACTCATTCCTCGGGGCGAGCTTAGGTTTAGCACCACTTCCGCGTCTCCTTGATCCCGTTTGTCTTCCTCTGGGCGAACACTCGTTACTCCGGATTCAGTTTTGCAGACGAACAACGCCGTTAAGTTTCATTTCCTCAAAATCGTGAGACAGCTCGACGATCGCACGGCGCTGTCCATT